AGAAACCTTACAGGCAAGAAGGGGCTGGAAAGAAGTATGCAAAATCATGAAAGGCAAGGCCCTACATCTGACATTACCCTATCCAGCAAAGCTATCGTTTAGAATGGAAGGGCAGATAAAGTACTTTCCAGATAAGGTAAAATTAAAGGAGTTCATCATTACCAAGCCCTTAGTATATGAAGTGTTAAAAGGACTTACCTAAGAAAAAGAAAATCAAAACTATGAATAGTAGAAGGACAAAAAACTCACAACTATCAACAACTGAACCTAAAAAACAAAAACAAACTAAGAAAACAACTAGAACAGGAACAGAATCACAGAAATGTAGATCACATGGAGGGTTATCAGCAGAGAGTGGGAGGTGGGGAAAGCAGGAAAAGGTACAGGAGATAAGCATAAGTGGTAGGTACAAAATAGGGGGAGGTTAAGAATAGTATAGGAAATGGAGGGACCAAAGAACTTATATGAACGACCCATGGACATGAACTAAATCAGCTTGGGGTGTGATGCTGGAGTGGGTAAGTGCAGGGTGGAAGGGGATAAAGGGGTAGAGAAAATGGGACAACTGTGATATCATAATCAATAAAATATACTTTAAAAAGTCATCAAATTTATATGGAGCTATGAAAAAACCCCAAATAACCAAAGCAATTCCGAGAAAAAAGAATGAAGCCAGAGGTGGTGTACTACCTGACTTCAAATTATACCTCAGAGCTATGATAATCAAAACAACATGTTATTGGCAGAAAAAGAGACACACAGATCAATGGAACAGTATTGAGAGCCCAGATATAAAACCACATGTATATGGGCAGATTATTTTCAACAAAGGAGCCAGTAACACACAATGGAGAAAAGTTTCCTCAGTAAATGGTCCTGGGAAAATTGGAAAGACATTCAAAAGAATGAAACTAGCCTACAGCTTGTCCCTATGTACAAAAATTAATTTAAAGAGGATCAAAGACTTAAATATAAGATCTGAAACAATAAATTGCATAGAAGAAAACATGGGTACTAAACTATGGACCTTGATTGTGGAGAACATTTTGTGAATTTAACCCCAAAGGCAAGCGAAGTAAAGGCAAAATAAATTAATGGAACTGTATTAAACTAAAAAGCTTCTGACTAGCAAAAGAAACCAACAACAAAACAAAGAGGCAACCAATCAAATGGGAGATGATGTTTGCAAACAACAGCTCTGACAAAAACATCCAAAAATATATAAAAAACTTAAAACCAAACAAACAAGCAAACAATCCAATTGAAAATGGGCAGAAGGCCTGAACAGACAGCTCTCCGCAGAAGACCTACAAATGTTAAACGGATATATGAAAAGATGTTCAACCTCATTAGCTATTAGGGAAATGCAAATCAAAACTACCATGAGGTACCACCTCACACCTGTTAGAATGGCGGTTATGAACAAGTCCAGTAATAACAAGTGCTAGAGAGGTTGTGGAGAAAAGGGAACCTTCATTCATTGCTGGTGGGAATGTAGACTGGTACAGCCACTTGGAAAACAGTCTGGTGGTTCCTCAAAAAAAAAAATTAGGACTAGAGTTACCCTATGACCCAGAAATCCCTCTCCTAGGTATATATCTACCTGAAAAACTCAAAAACATGTATTTGCAAAGATATATGCATCCCTATGTTTATTGCAGCATCATTCACAGTGGCCAAGGCGTGGAGACAACAAAAGTGTCCTTTAAAACAGGATTGAATAAAGAACATAGGGTATGAATGGAATACTACTCAGCAATGAAAAAGATGAAATACTGCCATTTGTGACAATATGGATGGACCTTGAGAATATTATACTGAGTGAAAAAAGTCAGTCAGAAAAAGCTAAGAACCATTTGATTTCACTCATATGTGGAATATAAAACTGAAACTCATGGACACAGACAGCAATGTGGTGGCTGCCAGAGGGAAAGGGGTTGGGAGTGTGGGAGGTGGAGGGCATCTAGTATATGGTGATGGAATATGGTTTGACTTTAGGTGATGGGCATACAGTGCAACATACAAATCTAATATAGAAATGTACAACTGAAACCTATATGATCTTATTAAGCAGTGTCACCCCAACAAATTTAATAAAAAAAAGAAAAAAAGAAAATGGTTTCTTAATTAGGTAGTTAATTTTAATAGAATCTGGATGTTGATTTTTTTTTTAATACTTTATCTTTACCTGTCAGAAAGAGCTCATATTATACTCAGAGTTTTGAGATAAAGACATACATACTTGGAAATTAGCCTGAACTAGAGTAAGGAAAAAATGGCCTATTACACTTACCCACAAATATTTCCATTTCCTAAAACTGACTCCTCATTGCCTCTTTATTTAAACCAATCTTTTTATTTCACTAAGTCCATTCCTGGAATATTTTTAAACACAAGGCTCAGGGAAAAATAACTAATGAAACAGCTGGGTCAATCAGGAAATCTTGTCTTATTAAGTATAACTTATTAACTATATTGGATTAACTATAACTTTAAAGAGGAGGCTTCTCCTTCACCATATCTTTGGCAAAAATCTTAGGTAACTTATCAAGAAGGAAAGAATCTTTTCTTTCTGAGGCTTAGAAAGGTTTGATATTTGAGGTAAAAAGTCATTATGATAGCTCTTAGGATGTTGGATTTTGTTGCTGATACATCCTACATTCTATTACTGTTGAGCCTGCAAAACTGTACTGGAATTTCATTAAAATCATATTAATAAAAATGTACCTTCCAATGATTGCAGAGAAGTTCCTGAAATACCTGACACACCCAGACAGGGGATGCCTGACCTTTCCCTGTGAGTGTGTGCGTACGCATGTCTACATATGTGCTCACACTAACTTCAGCCTACATTTTTTAACAGTATATTCTATAGGCTGGGGAGTAACAGATATCTAAGCTTCCCTTCCTACCCAAAAGAAACTAAGAGACCCAAAGGACCAGAGTGTAATCCCTATGAAATAACAATACAAGTTCCTTCTTGTTCATACTTTTAAAAAAATGTTCTTAATCTCACATCTTTAATGATTTTCTCAGAATATTAACTGAGCTTTTGTACTTCAAGTGCCCTTCTTAAGTAAATGAATTCCCCAGATTCTGCATTCTCCTAGTACTAAATAAATTGAATTTGGGAGGATAGGTTGAGTAGGACAAGAAATGAAGCACATATGCCATTCTTGTTTGTGATACTTTTCTATTATGTAGACCTTTTTCACAGATAATGGTGACAACAAGTTCTTTTAAGGAAGTAACACTGAATTTATTATTTTTTTTCTCTGAAGAAATAATGAAATACTTTTACCACTGGCAAGGCTTGGAAATATTTCTATTAGAGTAAAAATTTTTAGTATTTACTATAATGAGATGTACTGTGATAAAATCTTGGAGAAGAAATATTTAACCATTTGACAACCTACTGTAAGAACTATTCACTATTAGTGTAGTATACACAAAAAAGTTAATTTTGTATAGGTTATGAATTTGTTTTTTAAAGCAACATACATACTCGTATGTGTATACATATACATGTATATACACACATGTATTTACCACTTATTGTGTCTGGTTCTTTATATAATTTGTGCTTTAAACGCACTTTTGCTAACAAGATTTAAATATTTTGGGAGCAAAATACTATATTTATCATAATTAGTATTAACAGGAAAAAGCTTATTTAGCTTACAAAAAATTTCCATGTATAGTCATATGATGTATATATTGAAAGAATAAAAAATGTCGTAAGTGGTGAAGTACCATCCAAGATGTGGACTCTTAGAAGTGTATTTGGGATTTTCCAAGGTTTTTTGATTTTTGTTTTTGTTTTTTAATCAATAGGATCAGTTTTAGATACTCTAAAGTGAAACTTTGTCCAGTAGGGTTTGGGCCTCTTCAGTGCTACAAAACAGTGAAGTCTGTCTTCAAAGCTAGTTTTAATTATCACAAAGATACCATTCTTTGTCTCTGTATACAGTTCATAATATAATATTAGCCTGAAAAACCTCATATGTGAGTATTTTCCTTTCATATTATTAATTATAATTTCTCAATTTATAAATTAAATAAGGCATTGTATATATTTTGAAAATCTTAAGAGTTTGTGAACATTATTGTACATTAACTATAAAGTACTCTTGACCACCTTGGGCAGTTTATTTCCTGTGGATGATTAAAAACAAACAAACAGTGTTTTAGTTGTAATCATAAAATGTGTGATTATGTTTATTATCAATTAGAAATATCTCAAGAAAATATAATCAGCTCTTAGTTGTCTCTGCTATTTGGTCTTACATTTGGCCTCCGAAAATAACAGATAATTTGTTTTTCATGTCATGCTCATGGGTTACATTCTTCTCTTGTTTTTGTCACGTTTGTAACTGCATGTTGGTGGTTTTCAGTAATGCTATTTCTCCTAAGTTTTTATCTACCATTGCTGTGCTGGATCGGGGCCAACGAATGAGGATAAGAATGGGAAGGCACAGCAGCAAGGCTGTCTCAAGTGAAGCCTTAGGTAGCGCTCCTGGGATGTGTGATATGGATAGTCCACAGCCTGTGTAATAGAGAGTTAATTCCATAACAAGAAATAACTTTTAATTTAAATAAATTTGAAGTTCTGTGATACATTTCTCTTATAATACCTTTCTTTTATTTGTAGTTCTCTGGGTTAATAAATTTTAAATATATGGATTTGTTTTATGATACACTGAAGACTATAAATACGTATTAACTCTAAATGCTGATATTGTGTGTACCTATGTATGACAGTTAGAAAAAACAAATAAACTTAAATATTGAAGGCTATTTATTTGTGCTAAACTTGACCATCAGTACTCCCTGTGATGTTTATTTAAAAATTATGAAAATTTCAGATTCATCATATAAGTTTTAATTGGTCAGTTAAAGGGAGGGACATATTTAAGAAGCATTTGTAATTGCTATGAATTTTACTAGAAAAAATTGCTATTTTTTCTAATTTAGTTTTTTTCCCCCAATATTTGCTCAAGTTCTGTGATACGCCTCCCATAAGTGAGAAGCCTCTGGCGGAACAGGAATGGTACCATGGCGCGATTCCCAGAATAGAAGCCCAGGATCTGTTAAAACAACAAGGGGACTTCTTGGTGCGAGAGAGCCATGGGAAACCTGGTGAATATGTCCTTTCTGTATATTCTGATGGACAAAGGAGACACTTTATCATACAATGTGTTGATGTACGTTTCTAATTTAGTTTATATGTATATTCTGATGTAGTGCATTGTGGTATAAGGGTAATAAAATGATGAATTTTTAGTTTTTTGATAAATGCCTGTAACAGAGTTTAGCACTTAATTTGCTTTTGCTGAATTCCTTAAATACAATACTCCAAAACTCACTAAAATGTTAATCTTATTAGGGAAATATGTACTTCAAACTATTGTAAATTAAAATAGTTGTTATGCATAAATTTTTAAAATGCTTGAATTAAATTCGAACATTAAAGGTATTTTAAATTAAAAATAGAAATAATGTGACTATCATGATTTTTCCTTTTTACTGGAGAAATTTATTTATGAATTTATTCTTTTGAAACATGCCCTTGATATTGCATTCAAAAGTGGTATCATGAGAGATTTTAAAGAAATATTTTATTAAATAGTGATAATAAAATTCCTTAATGAGTGACATACTGATGGTTGAACTGATTTTATGATTCATTTAGGATTCAGTATTTTTTCCCTTCATGTATAAGCTATTACTTGTTAACATTAATAAACCATAAATAAACATTGATGAAAAATTTTAAAATGATCTATTAATATCTCTTGTTCTAATACTAACATACTTATTGAAATTTATTTAAGCATTGCTAAACTATGTTTTATGTTTTTTACATTTCTTATTAAGCTTTAAACAGATGAAGAGTAATCTTAAAATTTTGTTTAACTTTATGACTGAGAAATTTTAATATTTTGGCATATGAAGGACTTGATGCCTCTATTTGTCATTTTTCTCTCCGCCATTTCCAATGGCATGCATTTGCAAGCTGCCAGTCTACAGGCTTTCAGTTTTTGTCCAGGCACCATAGTGACATAATTACCTTACAAAAGATTAAACCATTGTCATTGGATGAACCTCAGGGGAGTTCTTAAAATAGATACAGTGATCAGTAATTACTATATATATATATCAATGTATCTATCTATCTATAATTCTGAGATGAAATTCACATATCATAAAAATAAGCATTTAAAAGTATATGGTCCAGTGGCATTTAGTATATACATATCTAGTAACTACTTAAATGACAACAAATGCTATTCAGGTGGGCTAAAAGAAATATCTATTAAAAGTATGTATTATAACTTTCACCTTGTTTGTTTTTTTGCATAGTATACATACTTCAACTTGATAATCACATTTGCTTACCCTCATACATCTGACTTACTGTTTCTAGTAGTGTATACTGCCTTATTTCTTTGTTTCTTATTTTATTTTTTATGCTATTACAGTTGTCTTACTTTTTCCTCCTTTTTCTCTCTCCACCCACATCGATAATCAGTCCCCTCACCGTTGTCCATGTCCATGGGCCCTTCATGTATGTTCTTTGACTAATAACCCCTTCACCTTTTTTCAGTCAGTCCCCACCTTCCTCCTCCCCTCTTAAAGCTGTCAGTCTGTTCCATGAATCTATGTCTCTGGTTCTGTTTTGTTCTTTAGTTTATTTTGTTCATTAGAGTCCTCTAATAAGTGAGATTATATGGTATTTGTCTTTCTCCCACTGGTAATTTCACTTAGTATAACATCATCCAGTTCCATCCATGCTGTTGCAAAAGGTAGGAATTCCTTCTCTCTTTCTGGTGCTTAGTATTCCATTGTGTAAATGTACCACAGATTTTTTTAATCCACTCATCTACTGATGGGCCCTTAGGCTGTTTCCAAATCTTGGCTATTGTAAATAGCACTGTTATGAACATGGGGGTGCATAAATTCTTTTGAATTGGCATTTCTGGATTCTTTGGGTATATTCCCAGCAGTGGAATCACTGGGTCAAAAGGCAGTTCCATTTTGATTTTTTGAGGAAATTCCATTCTATTTTCCATTTTGATTTTTTGAGGAAATTCCATCTATTTTCCACAGTGGCTGCGCCAATCTGCATTCCCACCAACAGTGCACTAGGGTTCCCTTTTCTCCACATCCTTGCCAGCACTTGCTGTTTGTTGATTTATTAATAAAAGCCATTCTGATAGGTGTGAAGTGATATCTCATTGTGGTTTAAATTTTCATCTCTCAGATGGCTAGTGATGTCAAGCATTTTGTCATATGTCTATGGGCCATCTATGTGTCCTCCCTCCTTGGAGAAGTGTCTACTCAAGTCCTTTGCCCATTTTTAAATTGGATTGTTTGTCTTCCTGGTGTGGAGTCATGTGAGTTCTTTATATGCTTTGGAGGTTAAACCCTTGTCCAGTGTTTCATTGGCAAATATGTTCTCCCATACAGTCGGCTCCCTTATTTTGATGATGGTTTCTTTAGCCATGAAGAAGCTTTTTAATTTGATATAGTCCCATTTGTTTATTTTTTCCTTTATTTCCCTTGCCTTAGATAATAATGCCAAAAATATTGCTATGTGAGGTATCTGAAATTTTACTTCCTGAGTTTTCCTCTAAGATTTTTATGGTGTCATGACTTATATTTAAGTCTTTTATCCATTTTGAGTTTATTCTGGTGTATGGAGTAAGATGGTTGTCTAGTTTCTTTTTTTTCCCATATACCATTCCAGTTCTCCCAACACCATTTATTGAAAAGACTGTCTGTATTCCATTGTATGCTCTTGCCTTTTTTGTCTGCTCTTGCCTCCTCTGTCAAAAATTAATTGACCTTAAAGATGTGGGTTATTTCTGGGCTCTCTATTCTGTTCCATTGACCTATGTGTCTGTTCTTATGCCAATACCAGACTCTTTTGATTACAGTGGCCTTGTATGTTTTGATATCAAGTATTGTGATCCTTCCAACTTTGTTCTTCTTTCTCAAGATTACTAGGACTATTCAGTGTTGTTTTTTATTCCATATAAATTTTTGGAATATTTGTTCTAGATTTGTGAAATATATCATTGGTATCTTGATAGGAATTACATTGAATCTATAGATTGCTTTGGGTAGTATGGACATTTTAATGATGATAATTCTTCCTATCCATGAACATGGTATACACTTTTACTTATTTGTATCTTCAGTTTCTTTTTTCAGTGTCCTATTGTTTTCTCGGTACAGGTCTTTTACCCCTTGGTTAAATTTATTCCTACTTACTTTATTTTTGTTGCTGTTGTTGTTGCAATTGTAAATGGGATTGTCTTCTTAGTTCCTTATTGTTCATTATTGGTGTATAAAAATGCCATCAATATTTGAATATTGACTTTGTATCCTGATACTTTGGCGAATTCATTTATTAGGTCTAGTAGTTTTTTTGGCGGAGACTATAGGGTTTTCTACATACACTATCAGGTTGTCTACAAATAATGAGAGCTTTACTTCCTCTTTTCCAATTTGGATGCCTTTTATTTCTTCTTCTCATCTATCACTGTGAGTAGGACTTCTAGTACTGTGTTGAATAAGAATGGTGAAAGCAGACAACCTTGTCTTGTTCCTGATCTTGAGGGAAGTGCTTTTAGCTTTTGCCCATTGGGTATGATGTTGGCAGTAGGTTTTTCATATATGGCCTTTATTATATTAAGATTTGTTTCCTATATTTACACTTTACTAAGCGTTCTTTTTTTCATAAATGGGTGCTGGATTTTAGGAAATGCTTCTTCTGCATCTATTGATGTGATGATATGATTTTTGTCTTTCATTTTCTTTATGTTATGTATTAGATTTTATTGATTTGTGGATATTGTACCATCCTTGCAACCCTGGAATAAAACCCACTTTAACGTGGTGTATGATATTTTTGATGTATTGCTAGATCTAGTTTGCTAATGTTTTGTTGAGGATTTTAGCATCTATGTTCATGAGAGATATTGTCCTGTATTTTCTTTCTTTGTTATGTCTTTACCTGGTTTTGGAATTAGGAAAATACTGGAAAAAAATTTGGAAGCGTTCCCTCCTTCTGAGTTTTTTGGAGTAGTTTGAGAATAGGTGTTATTCTTTGAATGATTGGTAAAATTCTCCTGTGAAGCCATCTGGCCCAGGGCTTTTGTATGTTGGGAGTTTCTTTATTCCTGCCTCAATTTGATTAGTTGTAATTGGTGTATTCATTTCTTCATCTTCTTCCTTATTCAGTTTTCGAAGATTTGTATGTTTGTAGAAATTTTTACATTTCACCCCGGTTGTCCAATTTCTTGGCGTATAATTGTTCACAGTAATTCCTTACAGTCCTTTGTGTTTCTGTGGTATCTGTTGTTACTTCTTCCCTTACATTTCTGAGCTTATTTATTTTGGTCCTCTCTCTTTTTTTCTTGATGATGAGTCTGGTTAAAGGTCATTCCTTATTTCTTTGTCAAACTTCAATAATTTGTATGTGCCTTTGTTATTTATGTAAATACACTTTCCTATTACAACATGTAACCATGCTGGCAATATTTATAAAATGGCATGAGAGTTGTATAGGTAAAATCAAAGGTAAAGTATAAAATAACTATACATATATATTTCCTTCTTATATTTTAGGCTATGAGACTTGTGGGTTTATATGATTTTTTTACATTAAATAAGACTGAAATATTTTTTATTACCACTTCCAGTTTAAATGTAACTATAGGAACTTAGTATTCTTAGAAACAAAGAAAGGGTACATTTGCAATTATAACTTGTTTTTAATATTGCTATTTTGTTTTGAGTGACTAAAGTGAACAGTATAATGTATTCTAAAACTAAGACATTGTTACATGTTCACATTTGAAGATTTTATTTGGCTTTCTTCTGTTACTGAAATTTTGCAAAGATCTCTATTAAGATTAGAGTGCGTATATTTCCATAAATGCCTCAAGTTTTTCGCTGCGTAATTTTACTTTGTTTGGTCTCACCAAATAATCTTGAGTTCTTTAATCAGTTGAAAATAGGATTTTGAAGGAAATATAGACTGGGGAGGTTTTAATTCTTTTTCATATATGTAGGTGAATCTTCTGTGAGCTAAAATTATCCATTTCCTTTGTCATATACCTGTTACTTAAAAGTGGATCAATAAATGGGGAAATACATTACCAGATATTTAATAATTTCCTCTTATATTTCAATCAAGGAGTGTATAATGTAATAGATTTTAAAATCTATACATAAATGAGGGGATAAGAGAGGAAGACATAAAAGAATATGGGATTTTAGAGAATGTACAGATATTAAGCAGTCAGTCAATGTAAAAAGTACTGGACTGAGAAGACTTGGGTTCCAGTCCTGGCTCTTCGCTTTACAAGCTCAATGCCATGGGAGATAATGGAGTTAATAGGTTATACAGTGATTATGAGAATCAAATTACTGAATATATACTTTGTAGTTGTGGAGTGCTATGCAAATATTAGGTATTTTTATCACTCTTTGATGACTCTACTTAAGAGAAAATGCAAATATTACTTTGGAAGAAAAATTGATATAATCAGAAAAGTTAATTTATATTTTTTTGTTTCTATGAGATTTGTGAAATTTAAATAGTAATGAAAGTGTCTTAGAATTTGTATATGTACTGTCTTTATTGTGGTGATTTAGAACTGAACGTGCAATATTTTTGAGGTATGGCTGTATTTAAATTTGAGGTATTCATTGATCATGAATAATGTTATTTTTAGCAATAGTGCTTCTGTCAGCTAAAGTCTAGTATGGTGATTATTTTGAAGCTTTATTTTTTATGCATATTACAGTCATTTCCTAACATGGTGTGAAACTGCCATTATAACTGATCAAGATGGACGCACTTTCAATTTTTAATACTCTAGTGAAGAATATCTGTCTCTTGTTTTAGCTGGTTCAAGCAAGAAGAACTGTACCTTTTTATTGGACACTAACTGTATTAATTTCATAAAGCCAGGTATATTAAACAAAGCTAAGAATATCTGAATATAAGTGTATTTCTAGGGTTACTGATCTATTCCATAATTACTAACTTATTTTATGGTGCTTGATATGAAGTGATATGTAGAGTTTGTACCTAAAGCTGTTTATTTTGGGCCATAAATATTAATAGATTTTCATAGAGATTTAAGTAGCTTTGTTCTATTTGATTAAGTAAATATATATTTATCAGATCTTTGTTTTTATATATAAGAAAAGAGAAAATACATGTGCTAAAACAGAAGTACTCCAGGAAAAAAATTGATGCCATTATAGGAAAGTGCCAATTATATTTCTCTAATTTGTTTATCTTACAAATGAGTGTTTATCTAAGTGCTTATTTTTGCAAAATACCATGTTATGCACTGTAAGGATATGAAACCAAAAAATGTGGGTCCTACTTCTCAGTTGCCTTAAAACCTAGTAGGTGAGACATTAATAGATTTTATAAATGGAGAAGTGTTAAAGATACAGAATTAAGAATGATTGAGCCAAGAAATTTGAAATAACATACAGTGATGAGTTAAAAATAACAACATAATAAATATTTTTAAATGAGAAAAGCTCTATGTAATGATACATCATCTTTTATGTCTTCTTTCATTCATTCAGGAAATATTATTTGAGCAAGTACTATGTAAGACCCAGGAATATGGGCCAATAAAAATCATCACACAAAAGGGGAGGTTGTAATTACTATGTGAAATTTGGGATTAGTTCAGTGCATTAAATCATCATTCATTCAACAGATATTTATTGGATTTCTGTCATGTGCTAAATTCCCTTTTGAGCTCATGGAGTTAGTCTCTGAGTGTACCCATTAGATTTACATCCTTTGTTTTGTTGCCACAATCTTTAGGCTCTTTGAACTATTCATGCTATGGGACTTTTGGAAGATTAAGTGAAAGGAAGTAGAAACCCAAAACTTGTCTGGATGATAGTTAATTCCAAACATGTGGCCTTCTTATTGTACACTTATGATTATTTAACCATCCAACTCCAACCATTTAAGGACTCAAGGAAGGCAATAAGTACCTTGTAGTCAAAATGACACTAAGATACAATTTTCTTTGCTTCTGACACATAGACTTAGGAAACTTCCTTCTTAACAAAACAAAGCCATTTCAAAACTTTATTAATGTTCATTTCCAGGAAACACTAATTGAGAGAGTATTCTTAAGGCCCAGGAATATAATGGTGGAACTTACAGTCCAGGGGGGATGCTCACAGTCATTCATAAACACACAGTATATAGAATTATAAACTACAGTAAGTGCTGTAAGGATACACAGCACTATGAAAGCTTTTAACTGGGAAAGTTAAGAGAGTTAAGTTTGCGATACCATTTGAATAATGAATAAAAGTTAACTAGGAAAAGATATACCAAGGCTTATTAATAATTATTTTTAAACTCCCCAAATTATTCCCGTATACTGGTTTAATTGGTTATCTGTAAATAATCAATATTCCATTTTTATTTGAGAAAGTTAAAGCTGATGTTTTATATTTTTAGGGGTTTTACAAAAAAAGGAGTGTTTCAGTCTTTTGTTTTTATTTGGTCCTTTGTTTTTATTCAGCTTATTCATTTCAACATTTTTCAGAAATCACGTTTTCTTTTTCATATTTTTTTCCCTTAAGCCTGCTTATCCTTGATTTTGTTTCAGGAGATCTCTTCAGGCAATTTTAACATATGTTGAATCCCCTTCTCATTTTTGTGTGCTTATTCTGTTCTGTTTGACTTCCTTGCATAATAACATCTTTTTGAAATATGTATAGTAGCAAAATCTGTTTTTATGTGTTTTTCATCTATATGTGTGAATGATTCTTAAGTAGCACAGTGACAACTCAGGAACAATTCCAGCTGTAGTAAATGTTTTAAAAACAGAAGTAATACATACTCTTGATAGAAATTCAAACTATGTATCATGGAATGTGTGCTTCACAGTAACACACCCCTTATGGCCTCTGTATATATTCTTGGAAAAATCAAAATATATATTTTATATATGTATATAATTTTTATTTTCTAAAAATTGAGTCATGTGTTTTTAATTATACTTCTAATTTTTCAAATGATATATGTAATATGATATACAACTGACAACATAATAATCTTTGTAGACATTTATTACTCTGTACTACTATTTTTTATTGCGTCTTTTGGAATTCACATAAGAGGTCATTAGAAACAATCTTATTCAAAGACAAGTCTCTTACTTAAAAGTTAGTCTGAATTCTCTCAGTCATGTTATTGTTAAAGCATGCAGAAAAATGTTTAAAAAAATCCTCTGTGCATGAGCCTCAGGTCATCTGAGCTATAAGAAATTTATACAGATGTGTACAAGATCAAATATAATATTCAGAATTTTCAGTGTGTCAAGAAAGAAGTCCTCAACAATTTTAATGATTGTACTATTCTTGACCTTTTAGTTGCTTCATAAGCACACAGTCTTAACATCATTTTTAAATTCATTATTTTCATGTTTAAGAGAGTGAGTTTTACGGTTTGCGCTGTGTTCAGACTCAGAACTTCACTGATTGCTTTAAAAAATAATTGTTACGGATCAGTTTCTTATTTCAACCCATGAAGGAAATACTGCTACTCATATTACTCACTGTATTAGTCCATCACAATTACTATGCCCAATGGAAGAAAACTGCCTTTAAGTTAAAAGCTAAATACATTCTTAAATTAAGAAAAGGAAACTGAATATTCTCATTATTTTATTTACTATTTCTCTAGTTATAAGAGGCATATTAGAAGTTTATATGAGACATTATAACACCAGTGTCTGATTTGAAATTTCATTCTATGTGAACTTTATCTCAATACTTACTTACCTCTTATCAAACATTGTACTTTAGTGTCTTCAGTTTATGTGAGATTATGAACTTCTCAGTATTCATTTCTAAGTTAAGTTGTCTTACTTGTTGCATTAACTTTACAATCACTTTATATGTATTGCATTTCATTCAGTCACACATGTCTGTTTATCCAGTCAATATATGCCAGGTACTGTTCTAGACCATGGGGATACTGTGATGAGCAAAATAAATGTAAAAATTTATCACCCTATGTGCTCTCGTTTTAGAGAAGAAGGAGATAGACAATAAACAGAATGAGTGACTAAAATACATATGATGTTAGATAGTGATAAATTCTAAGGAAGAAAATTCAGTAAGAAAATGGAGGTAAGAAATGTAATTGGGATGAGAAAATGGATAATGAACATTGTGTAGGGTGATCAGAGTAGGCATCACTGAAAAAGGAACATTTGATGAAAGGCTGACGTTCAGTATGGAAGCCTTTACCCATATGGTCATCTGATGAACTATTTCAACAAATGTAAACATCCTGAGGAGGGAATGTATATAGTACATTTATAAAACAAGAAAGAAATGAGTGTGGCTACCATGGAACGAAATAGTGGTAAAGAGATGAGGTAAGAGAAATGATAGAGCACAGATTATGTAGAGTTTTATGGACCATGGTAAAGACTTTGACTTTTATTCTAAAGGAGATAAGAATTTTGAGTAAAGTAATAGAATAATATAACACATCCGCTGGCTGAAGGAAGACAAAGGGAGAAACAGTATACATATGTATCTTTAACTTTATTGAGAAATCTTTGACAGATATAATTGTATGTTTTTAAAGTATACAATGTAATTGGTTGATATACATTGTAGAATGAATATCAAGGTAAGATAATTAACATATTAATTACCTCACATTGTTTACTTTTAACCATTTCTAAGTGTATACTTCAGTAGTGTTAAGTGTATTCACAGTGTTGTGCAACAATAGTTTTTCTTAAATGGAACTTAATTTATTGATGAATGTAATCATGCTGAAGCAATGACTTTATATTTATTCTACTTTATTGTTCTTTCTCCAGAACATGTATCGATTTGAAGGCACTGGTTTTTCAAACATTCCTCAACTTATAGATCATCACTATACAACAAAACAGGTCATCACTAAGAAATCAGGTGTAGTGCTGCTGAATCCTATTCCTAAGGTAGGTGTATATATACACACTTCTTTTGTTTTTAAAGAATGTTTCATGAGTTAACATTTTCCACAATAAATAAAGTTCTTAGATTATTTAAAAAGTTTGGAAACAAAAGGGCTTTGTGATTACTACTCATACAAATGTAGTTGAAGCATTTTCCTTGGTTTTATTCAGATAGGTTGCCTTTTTATTCAATGTTTGCTAGGTTACAAATGGCCTTGCTTTTTGTCCCCCCAGTGTGGTTTGTTTTTTGTTTTTTTTTTGAAAGACTCAAGGCTTTTCTTTACTTTATCAGGTTCAGTCTTTGAAAGGTTCAGTTTTTAAAATATTCTAAGATGTAAATTTAAAAAAATGACCAAAAATCATGAGTAAATCAGAATTTTAATGTTGGGCATTAAGTTTACACTATACATTTACAATATATAAGACCTTGGAATTTTAAAAATCTATTCACAGGACATATTACTTTCATGTACTTAACCGATTTGTAAGGAAAGGAATGAGTATGAGGAAGGTTTGTGCTTTGAAGGTACAACCTGCAGGGCCTGAACCAAAGTGGGAAGTGGAGCCGGTCACCTTCTACACACCTCCAGTGTTCCAGGAATCAGGCTGGGGTTGGCAAGAGCCCTTTCCTCTGGGGGCTGTCTGCTACAAAGAACAATGGGAAAATAGTGAAGCCATAAAACCTCGTAGGCTAGTATTTGCTGGTTTCATTTTTATATATGTAGTGGTAACTTTTAATATGAACTAAGTGTTAGTCCCAAAAATTCTAGTGTGCAATTCAGATTGAGCTAAGGAAATTTAAAAGACAATTGTTGTATTTTTGTTTGGTAGTCTAAATGTAATGTCCATATTTGTCCTTGGATTTCATTACTCAGTCTTTATTTACAGGCTGAGCTTAAAAAATTCCTCTAACAGAAGATGTGACAGTTGCTAAACACTAATTCCACGGCTAAAGTATTGATCTTCTTGCACAGTTTCTAGAATTATGACATTGGCTCATTCTTTCTTAGTATTTTTCCATCCCACCCCCGCTTTTCCATTTTTACTGCAGAACACCCTATAAAAATTCTTTATACTGGACCAGACTGTCACATTTTTTCCTCTAGTTAAAAAAAGTCTATCAATGTTTTCTTTTCTATCAGTGAATAATAACTCTTGTCTTAAAGAGTTTTAAGAGCTCTTTAGTTAAGGTGATATATTCCCATGGCTTCATTTACTATTTATACGTCAGTGACTTGCAAATTTATAATTCTAGTTCCAGTTTAATATTTCCCAAAACTAATGTTTTTCAACTTTTCACCTAAAGCTGAGTTTATCACCTTTAACTCCAAAAGGTGTTCTTTCTTTCTCAGTAAATGGTACCAGCAAATACTCAGCTGATCAAACCACAAACCAAGGGGACAACTGTGACATTTTTTCTTCACCACTGCCCTCCCTCTAGAACTTTAAGTACCAGGAGTTTTGTATACTTATGTGCATGTGAAAGTATGAATTTCAATTCCTATGTATCTCAGTATGAAATAAAATTCATTGTAATGAAGATACTTTTTACCCATGTTAACAACTGGGTTTTCAGAGATACTGATTTCCTGTTTCACAAGCCAACCAAACATTTGCATTGTCTACTTGCTTAGCCAAGTCTAATTCAAGAGACCAAAACCATAGCACAGGCACATAAAAATGAAGATCTGGTCTTGAGTGGAAATATATGACTTCAAACAAAATTGCATCTCTCACTAGATAACATTTTCATGACATGAGTTTAGTTAAATGGAGTAGATTCTCTAGACTGTTTCACAGCCAGTTATTCTCCTTCTCCCAAACCCCCAACTCTGGCTGTGGAGCAGATTATCCCATCATTTTATAGTACTAGCTGTGAAAATGACTGTAAACTAAAAGCTATAGAAGATTAAGGGGCTATACATGATTGTTTTATGAAGTGGAAATTTAAAGTTTATGTAGCTATTAACCTGATCTAAAGTAGTCGTATTTGAAATATGCAAATCATTATTTCTGCTGTAAATATTGTTATACACTTGATTTAAAGAATCGTGTTACTCTTTTACAAGAAAATCACAAAGCAGAGGCTGTGAAAGTTAGATAATTTTCAATTATGAGCAGAGTGCAAACTGATATGGATTTTATTATAGTCATATTATCTATTATGTATCTTCCTTTGTGAAGTCATTTGTACTCTTATAATTGGAATCTATTTCTTGATTTAATTTGTGTAAGAAGTTAATGCCTTTGACCATATAATGTGCTATAAAACATCAAATTTCCATCTTGCCAGACTTCATTTGTAGCCTACATAAAGAATGCTATTTTGGTCTCAATATAATTTCTGTTTATAGAAACTTACTTCTAAGACTCTTCCTATTTATTTCTTTCTTATCCATAAAAATATAAATATATCATCATAATACCTAGCTGGAGAACACAGTGGCCAAAGTGGTCTGTTTCTTACCTTCAGAGGTATAAGCAGCTAGACAGTCTAGGGCTAGAGAAATAATCTAACCATCTCGTGGTAATAAAGCCAGTGGCACTGAAGACACTCATCTCTTACCCTCCACTGGCTGATTTCTGCTACACTATCTCCCAAAGTCTGTGTAAAGATAGGGAAAGTGAAAGGCATTGTTATAAACAGGGGTGACTGATCGCCCATCATCCCCGTCCTTATATTAGCAACATGTAGGATATGCACATGGCCTGTTCTTTACTTGGTTCAGTTTCTGTTCAAATGTCATTTCATCAGAGGCCTTTTCTGACTGCCATGTATGAAGTGATACTTCACCTCCTTTATTCCCCGCTTCCCTTTTTCATTTCTTTCTGTTATGGTTATGTTTATCTGACATCAAAATATATATTTAAGTTGCTTGTCTCCCCCAAGTGAAATTGTAAGTTTCATAAGGGCCTGAATTACATTTGCAGTTAGTGCAGCCTTATCCTAGTACCTAGAATATTCATGACTCATAGTAAATATTTGTTCACTAAATATTTGTTCACAAATTGTATTCATTGAGTAATTGTTAAAAGCCAGGTACTTGCTGAGCTTTTTATATGCATTATTTAATCTAACCCTCATATATTCCTGTGAAGTATTGCTATTGATCCAATACAATATTGTTGTTTATTAACACCATATGCTGTTATGAATGAGGGGCTGAAACTTAATATGATAAATGACTTGCACAAGGTAACACAACTGATAAGACTCAGAGCTGAGATTTGAGCTCATGTTCTTAATCACCATCTACCTAGATTGTAGAGTCTAGACTCTAGAGACTAGGATAAATTTTTTATTTTAAGGAACATGGATATGGAGTCCATGGAAAGGAAGTATCTTTGATTCTATAAAATATTACATTAAAAAAGATTTTAATATATCAAAAACTATACTTTAAGTTTCTATAAAAGGAAAATTATTAAACAGTAATACTGTGTTGGAGATCTGGGATTTTGGGTAAAATTTTAGACTTGGTAAAATATACCAAGTTTGTATTTTATATTTGAGATTAGGAAGATATCTAGTTCAACTTTAATATTTTAATCCTGCCTTGATTGGTTATTTGCCTTGTTAAGCTTAATATTTCTTCAGATTTAGCTGTTTTTTAAAAGAAATTTCTTTCTGAAAGGAAATTAAAGTTCATGATTAAATTCAGGGAAGTTAGGCAGTGAGCCAGTAAGTTGAATATTAGACAAATGACTTGCCTGCCAACCTAAATCAAGTACCTTGCTATTTATCAGAATTTGGTATAGGTTGCCAGAATATTAGGGGCAGGTTTTTATTGAGAGGAGAGTACATCTTTCTGTGACTGAAACTACTGATTAGTAATGAGGAGACAGGTTAGTGGCAACAATATTCATGATCAAACACATGTAAAAAAAGGCTAATGCATAAGAGAGGAAAGCTAAACTTTTAATTATGTACTCTATTTTTGTATTTTAGTTTAACATCTCTTAAAGACTATTTTCCATTATACTTAAGGATTGCTTCTCCCAGTACTACTGTTTAACGATTTTTTTTTATAGAGGCTTCTGATATACAGTTTTAATGTTTAAGTCCTTTTCAATTTAACATTCTGTGGAATTAAAGAGAATTCTTTTTCCTTAAACCTACATCCATGTGCCTAATTCCTTAAAATTATTTAATTATTAAAATTAAAATAATTTAATTTAAATAAATTAAAAGAAGGTTGAGAAATATATGTGATTCAGTGTTTGTTCCTTTAGCAAATATTTACTTAACAGTCACTCTGCTCGGCAGTGTCCTCTGTCACTGCAGAGTGCGGTACGTGCAATGGATTGACACAGGTCAGGGAGGGAGTGAGCTGAGCGTGGTGACGAGGGCGGGGGTTATGCGCTGTGTGCGTAGGGGAGAGCTGCTTTCTTAAAACTGTCATCATAGGAGGCCTCCTAATGAATTTTGAGGGGAAGTGTGAACCAAACCAAGGAGTTATCTGTATGGTTAATGTGCAGCGGTAGTCGCAAAAGTACTTAACAGTTTGGACGATGTGAATACTCCACATTGAAAACAGATGCCAACTTTAAACTGGTAGAGCCATGTTGGTGTTTGTTGACTGAATATCCTTCACAAGTGTCTGGGGAGTGTTTCTTGGTATAAAGAAGGGACTGCAAGGGCCAGTGTGGCAGAAACACTTGTAGGAGAGAGTGATCGGAGGTCAGGACAGATTGGGATTAATTTAATAACTAATATATTTTGTCTTAAAAGGTCTGTAGTTTATTATGTAATTTAAGAAATCCATTTCATTTGAGTAGAAACTCAGCATAAAGTTTTACAAATTTTTATAGTGGGTTTCTTAAAAAGATTTGTGTTTAATAGTGTTAGTGAATTTCAGGGGAAAACGTCTTTTTCAAGAACCTTCTTCCCCAATTCAATGCGTGTGTATGTGAGTGTACGCACACGAGTGCGTGTTTCCCCCGCACACCACCAAGCAATTAACTCAGTTCTGACACACTCTACCTGAAGGTAGAGTGTGATC